TCCTCTGGAGATGAGAGCACATTCTTTACTCCCCTCCCACCATTCCAGTCCATCACACATAACCATTACACAGGTATTTTGCTATTAAAATGGTTCCCCTCTACTAGCAGCTGCATAGTCTTTAAAGTTAATCCCATGTAGAGTGCATTACAGTAGAGTACGCAAGATGTTAAGAGCATGAGTCACAGTTGCAAGAATGTTCTAGTCCAAAATGGGCTGCAACTAGCACACCAACCAAACCTGGGCAAAGACTCCTCTTGCAATGGCTTCCATCTATTGTTCAAGCAAGAGTTTTGAGTCCATGAGAATCCCCAAGTCATAGATCTTATCCTTTAGGGACAGTGCAAGCATTTGTTCATGCAGTCATAAGGAGTCAAGCCAGATTGTGGTACCCACTAACTAGTTCTGCTGGTTAAGATTTGGAAGTAGAAATAAGCCAGTTGTCCTGAAAAATTGTACTAGGAAAGAGGTTGGAAGAACAGATGAGTGAGGAAGAAGTAAATGTGCTCTTGCAAAGCATCTACCAGCACATAACATGAAGGTTATTGCAGAAAATGGGAGTAGGGTTGATAGGAATCTGGGGTTGTTGGGCTATTGAATAAGCACCTCATCCCTAAACTTCTTTTTCAAAATGATATGTATTCAGCACTTCAGCCTGTTTAGAAGATTTTTGAAAATGTGAGCAAGAATTAACTTTGTTTCTCCAAAGTTATACCCAGCAAACCTTCCCAATCCAATATGTTGGTCTCAAAAAAGGAGAGAGTTATATATTACTTATAAAATTGTGTTTTTTGTTCCAGGCACTATATAAAGTTGGATAAGTTCCTGTCCATAGGGAATAGCAAAAATAATATAAGCATGATATAAAAGGAATTTAGATTTAAAGGGAAATAAGAAAAAATAAATAGAAGGTATTTTCATCTGGACCAGAGAACCGCTTTACTCATAAAGCAGGACAACTGTGTGATAAAAACCTACTCTGGAAGAAGGATTTTAATTCAGGAATAGAAACAGAAGTAGAATGCTTTGAACAAGAATAGATGTTTTTTTTAAAAAAACTTTCTTAAGGAGCAAGACAAAGGACAGATCTGTCAAATATTTAGAGTTCCAGTTATAAAGGGCTATGAGAGAGAAAGTATAAAGCCAAGAAGAGCATGCAGGTGAGAGTTAACAAGATGATCAAATGATTCAGCAATTCCAACTCTCATATGTATGATTTCTACAGTTACTCTGGTGATTGAAGTAGCATACAAATTCAAACATTTTAAAAAAGAAGTACACCTTGATTGGCTATATGACATAGCTGGGTCAAAAACGACTTACCACAATTCCCAGCTCTTAATTATTACTTTCATAATCATGACAATAAGTTCTGCAAATTAGCTGTGGCCCTTCACCTCCTGACCTTAGGAATCTTACCCTTGCACTTGACTTAATATACATATTGCATTAAAATAGTTCAGTAGACTTTTTTTTTTTTTTTTTTTTT